CTGAAGATTTTCTTTGCTGAACTCTTGCAAGGATGGTAGATGACCTTATTATTTTCGATCCTTTTCAATTTATTAGGTTCATACATGACGACATTAAAGAAATGACGAAAATAAGGATAGAAGAAAGTGTACGTATCTGCATTTCTCTCACTTCCAAGGTTCTCTAAATCGATACGCATACTTTTCGCATCCGCAGTTTCGTTATTTCCTCAAAGCCGTCATGCACGAACACGGGCAGAAAGACGTTTCTGCCGGAACATACGTAAGCCAACAAAGTAATTTACCCTAGAAGACGAACGCTACACGGTAAAGTGCTTCTCAATGTTTTGAACGGGTGAAGAAGTTGAATACCACTAACTACATCACAAACCTGATGAGCCCGCGCTATCATTCAACATGGACGTCTCGATCGCGCGATTCCACATCTCCACAGGGTCCTCGTCCTCTCCTGAAATATTTAAATCATAACCATGTGGACTGAGAACATCTTTGTTTCATGTTTGGAGAAATTTTTCAAAGAAAAACGTTATAGAGAAATATGGCTTGAATGTGGATGCTTACGTCCACGGCGTATTGCGACAACCGCAGTACCCTCTCTTAAGAACTGGAAGTGGTAACAAAATATCACTTCATTTTCCTTGGTAGTCTGGAAAATCCCTACCTAATGCATCCATGACTATGGTCCACTTCTAGCAACATATTTCAGAGCCACCAAAAATTTGCGGTCTAACTAGTTGACTGTTTAATGAACACAAAAAAGCAACAAGTCGAAAAAAGTTGAGGTTTGTTAGTGCCATTTTTGATATGACATGGAATCCACTCCCAACGCCCAGGTTTTGGCCTTTTTCAAGCGAGTAGGCAACGCACAGGTTTTGGTTTTTTTCATGCGAGTAGAAGAACGGGTAATACGCTCATACTTTGCGTGGGCGTTTTGAGCATGCTGATGCTTTGAGCGCCTGGAAATGTATAGATATCAATCTAGGAGTGTAAGCCAGCGTTTTAGGCGTTTCGCATGCAGTCTTGAACATTTAGCGGGCAGTCGCTGGGAACGCTGCCGTACGCTCGAAACGCTCAAACGCTGCCGTGCGCTCAAAACGCTGACGCAAAGTATGAACGCAGCTCAACATACGGCACAATGTTTCAACTTTTCACGCGCCACAGCACTGTGCGAGGCTTCACAAAACAAGACTGAAATCATTACCTACGTACTGGAGTAGCTATAGTTAGCGCTGAAATCATTACCTACGTACTGGAGTAACTATAGCTAGCGCAATACTAGATCATGAAGGGAACAGTTAACTCAATAGTAGTTGTAAAGATGTGAATTGTTGCATTATTTTACAAACTTTGATGAGAAAAAAGGTAGTTCGAAGAGTGTCCTTAATTATTCTTTTATTCACCTGACACATTTCCTTCATCGTAGTGAGTGACAACCCTGGACCACCTCTGCAGTGTATCTCGACCCTTTGCAGATAGCAGCGATGGATCCTCTATTCTACCAGAAACGCCACCCTTTGGCGTCTAGAAAATGAAAACGTCACTGAGTGAGCGCAAAAATTTTTGCGCGTTGGGAACACAAAACTGCGGAATTTCGAAGAAAACTCACCTTGCAGAGCAATTGGTCCACTTCACGACTTTTCCACACACCATGGATATGCTCGAAAACCTGAACAGGGCTTTAACTGACTTTGAAACTAAAGCACATCTCTCGTATAAAAACGGTGAGATGTGCAGCTCAAATGCTAACGAAAAGGTATTAAATGACAAGAAAAAGTGAAGAAAAAAATAAGTAAAAATTGCTTCAAATGCCCTCTAAACAACCTCACTCTTGTGCGTGCATAAGGCGAAGAAAGGGTTCGGCTAGACGAGTTTTAACTTTTTGGTGCCAGCTCTTTCTCCTTCTCACTTAACTTTCATCACCAGCACAGCTAGCACTTGAACAATTGCACTACCAAGAAGTCTTCAGAAAAGAAAGCAGTAGCCAGTGGGCGGAGCGTTGCCTTCCTCACTGATTTTTGTGCTGCGAAAGTGGTGAAGTCTTACACGATAATTATTCTCTAGCTTAAGAACAGGACTAACTTCTCCAAGGAAGGCGTATGCGCACCCAACGAACGCGGAGCGTGCCTTTAGTAAGAATTCATAAATTAACCTTTACAGCTGATCATAATTATCGTGTACGCCATTGAAATCATTACATGAGATCAAAGAATGTTCCATATGTCAAATAATAAGCTAGAAGAAACGCGAGATGAATGAAATTACATGTGACTAAATACAGTGATTTAAGACCAGTTTTCGTACCTTTTCTGAAGTGGATAGCTTCGTCTTGGGTATCCTTGTGGTGTTCATGTTCCATATGGTGTAAAAACCACGAAGAGGATCATCTTCGAAGCTGTGATTGAGGAGAGATAGCTCGTTGATTGATGAGCTATCACATTCAAAAGCTAAAAAATATCAAAAAATGAGGAACTGCAAAGGTGAACTAAAAGAAAGAAGTGATCAACGAATCAGTTACTTTACGATGATCCTTTTACAATAGGAGAATCACTGTTTTTGTAAAATTAACATTCTTCTTGGAAGCAGGAGAGTGACAGAAGGGATGTTCAAGAAATAAATTTGCACGATGAAAGGTTTCTCTGGAAGCATGCATAGGTTCCAGAGAAAATTTTTTCACGGTCAATCGGGTAATTCACACAGGTTTGGAAATGCGTTTTTGGCCAAGTGGAAAACGGTGAAATGAAGATGTCATGAACTTAGCTAGCTTTCAAATGCTCAAATATTGTTGTGTAGAGTACCCTACGAACTACGGAAAATCTCACCTGAAGACAAGTCGGCTGAAGCATTATGCGACTCACTCTTGGAAATTTTTTCCATCCATTCTTTGAAACGACTCTCGTACGAATTCCAGTGATGTATCCCTTTAGAAAGTGTCCTGGAATCGACGTAATTTTTATGATGACTGAGGAAGGAAAAACCAATAGGCATTTATCAATAATTTTCTGGAACGCTCCATGAGTTCAATTCCCATATGCATTTACTTGCGACACCAGCTAACGCATATGGTTTCATCCATGATTCTGATACCGTTTAATCGACTGCGTCAGGGGGAAGCCTTATTGAACTCAGGCAGGAGTAGAGTTTAAGCTCTGCTTCGTGCGAATAGTAGCAGGGCACATCAACGGAATAGGTGGTATGGCGATGTCACTACAACCCATTCCTTAGCACGGACTCTTTCCCAGCGCTGTTGAATTTAAAGTTCATCCCTAATAGTAACCTGCAGGTAGAGCAAATAATTTCAAATGTACCACTCATTGGGCGGTAGTTACCCCTTATTTGGAATACTACAAACTAGCTGGGAAGGGAAGCATTCATAGAACGAAAGCATCATATTACTCTGAATCTTTCCTAGTTTCGATAAATGTATTTGTGGGTTTAAGGCAATGCGAGGCTTTTCAGATTTTGCAAGGAATTAAGCTTCTTCTTGCACGCATTGAAACTATTCAAAATGCCGATGTCGACCAACCTACTCTTTGCAGCAGCGTTCCACTTTTTTTATAGCCTCACTAGTTCAATATATACAGCCCTGTTCGCTGCGGATGCGGGGCTTGGCAGGAGGGGATCGGCTGATTGAGTTCGGCCCCAGTTATCGGTTCTCCAGTAATTGTTGAAGCGGGCGCAAGCGACAACAGTTGATGGAAAACGGACAGGCGCCGCGTCAAACCCAGCCCTATGACAGCGCCCCAGCACCCGTGTTTGGAAATTACCCTACATTTCTTGGGTATCGGCAACCTTCGCTGCATAAGTGTCTTTTTAGCTTAGTTTGCGTGTTTTTCGTTTGTTGTTGTCTATGTGGATGGAATATACTGAATCAGATGGGTATGAGAGTTTCATAAAAAGGTACGAGGACGAAAGAGGAAAAAACTTAGTTTTGTCGAGAAACGGGCCCGTTGTCGCTTGCGTTTGTGCGAACTTGCGACTGAATAAAGTGTGGCTGCAATATCGTCACTATAAGTCGGGCGTTATCAAGAGTCATGGAATGAGCCCTTCCGCGTTAGAGCCAGTGGATGCTTCCTTCTTAAGTCGATCACTATTGCTGAGAAGAGGCGAGGACTGATGCGATAATATCGCTGCAGGATATAAGTCAAGTAATACGAAGCTCTTTCATCTAATCAGCTGAGTCGGCAAAGAAGCAAAGCCCAAAACTTCAAAACTAACTTTGGCAATAGAAATAGGGATTGTCCGTCTCCGTAGTTAATGCGCACTTGACGTCTATGCTTGTGCTTCTTTTTACTGGACTGCAATTTTTCGATTATATCGAATAGTCGTATGCTCTTTTTAGCTTTATCGATACTGAAATAAGAAGTCTTAATAAGAACGAAGCAATGTCTCAAATAAAATTACAGAAAGTTGACGCGATCAAAGCGAGTTTAAATTGTCCGTAGACCTTTTTCACTTAGATAAAATCAATCGATACATTTCCATTGTCTACGACTTTCTCAGTTCTGCGAATCTCAGCGTGACAAGGACGATTACGGTTGAACAGGGGCTAGGGTAACAAGTGTTCCAGTTTTGTTACAGTGTTCCATTTTTCTCCGGCGACAGGGCACGCATTCTCCTAGTCAGAATCGCACTGGCATCCTGAATGCGATAAGGCCTATACAAGCTCAGCCGACGTACACGTCAGTGTTCCCAACCTAACATACGAGACTGGCACCAACACTTGCCCCGGAGGGATAGAGACTCTATTAACCCAGGCGAAAACCGAGCCGAGGTTTCACCTTTGTAGCGTGCGTGTGTTAATCGGAGCCACTTGTCACTGCACCACCTCGGCCAACCGACGTAGTACATGCACATTTGAGAACAAACAGGTTTAGCAAAGAAAATACTTGAAGAAAAAACGTACCCATTCGGAATACCGTAGCGTTTTCTACCGTTCCAAGGCTTCGGGACATACAGCCAGTACCCTCCACCTTCGCGAAATGGCCGCATAACTACAGCTAATACAGAGTAAATATTTCGAATTAGATACAAGTATAAAGGAAAAAACACCCAGTAAAGTGGAAAATCGGCGAAAAGGAATTTCATAAATGTGTGCTTCCCGCCACTTGTATTTGCCGCAATTTTGCGTACATGGCGTAAAACTACAGACTGGTTTGCTCGAGTTCTTGTAGAAGCTTATGTATGCTTGTGTTTTCTGCATCATAACACTTAACACTTTATATTATTCTAGAATGGAATGCTGGTGTTGGTAAAATAGGTACGAACAGAGCTGGGATCATGGTCAACGAAAGCGCGACTTCAGGGAAAGGTAGTGATCCGGCCTTTTTAATATCCCTCTCTTCTTCTTTTAGCGCTGAAATATGTCATGTTCTAGAACGTGGTCGTATTCGCGATGCAAAAGAGATTTTCATATACATGCACCGGAATTTCCGTGTATCGCGGAATATACGAGCTCATTGGCTATTCGACCATCTCAATAAGACTGTGAAGATTGAGGACACGCCTGGAGAAGTGCGCTCTTTCTTCGTTCTGATTTCCATTTAATCGTTCTTTCAAACCTCTGAGAGTTATTGCAGTTTTGCTGTTCATAGACTTTCATAAAGACTAAATTGATCATCATCATCCGGTACTGGTTTTGGGAGCCCTGCATTCCATGGCAGTTGACAGTCGCAATTCTTATGAAGCGACCTACACCGCGACTTGTAGGGACCAGACAGTGCACATTTCAATGTTGTTATTATACTAGACGGGTCTAGCGCCATTTAACTTACCAAGTAGTGTCGAATGTTTCGGTGTGCCTGGGCGGAATCCGACGCAATTTCTGCTCCCGAGTCGTGCCTATGTTAAGGCAGCGTTCAAACTTGTTGCTCTGCAATTGTTACGCTTCAGTTGTACCAGACCCCAGCTTCCCTTTATGTTCTTTCTTCCGGTATTCAATCCCTTTTTCACTGTTTCTCATTTCTACCTGATTCTTAGCTCCTCTTTTCACTTTAACATTGAATTTTAATGTAGTTTTTGATACAGGACACTGTGATAATGATTTTGTATACCGTTTCAGAAAAACGCGTCGTCAAAAACGCCGGGAACTCGAAAAACTCAAAAGTCGTCAAAAACTACATTGAAATTCAATTTTAAAGTGAAAAAGAGGTGCTAACAGTCAGGTAGAAATGCGAAACAGTGAAAAAGATTGAATATTGGAGGAAGAATATAAAGGGAAGCTGGGTCTAGTATATTTCAGTGCAATGAATTGCAGAGCCACAGTCCTGGACGTGTCTATTCGCGGGCTCTAACCATCTCCATAATGACGTTCTTGGATTGTTTATTTTCCTGATCGCCAAGGTTTCTGGTGCAAGAGTGCGAACAGCAGCGATACTACCTTATAAAGCTTGTGCCTTCTAGATTTGGTTCTTCCTACTACATCTTAAGAACAGGAAAGCATCAGAAGGTCAGGGGTCCAGCAAGTAACAGACAAAAGTTCTCTAGCAGCAAACTAATTCCTCAAAAATCTTGACATCGAAAACATCTTCATGGAGGCTTATGAAGTGTTGAGTGGTCTAGCGCGTTGTAATGCGACCATTTCAGCCGCGCTCTGGCACTATAGACGGTAATGCAGCCATAGACGAATATAGATCGGCGCTGGCCGCTGCTGCTTAGAGAGAGTATGGGAGAATTGGAGGGTACGCGTTGTCTGATCACTTAGCCTGATACCCTCCAATGCTTCTACACTCTCCCATTATATTAGCGTCCGCACCGATGGATGCCAGCTGTGATCAAACGCGTACCTTCTTATTCTCCCTTACTATCTTGAAACAGTAGCGGCTGGCGCCGGTCGATCCCCGTAAATGGCTGCGTTTCCTCTTCTCTAGCACTGAATCGCGGTTGCAATGGAAGCGCGCCGACGCGCATTGCAGCGCATCGGCGCACGTCATCGCGCGAACTCAATGAACGCTGCTTCTTAGTAATGATTCGGAGATGCATGCAGTACGGCGATCCGCAATGTGTTAATAGGCTTTCTAGTGTGCAGAACCAGAATGGTCGGGGTGCGACTGGGTGCTTGTGGCCAATGAAAACAGCAATTCAAACTGAATCAACTTCTGCCGTAGCGGTAGAGAAGAAGGGGCTTTGATTTGATGCATACCTCCTTAACCCATTGACCAATTGCGCCTTCTTGGTAGTTTGGCATCTAGTCCTGCTTTCAGTTCTTTAACCCCCTTCCTCGAGTGCCATTGTTACCTTGAGCTCCATTTTTTGTTTACTTTTATTCGTTTCCGTGATTCCCTCAAAAGTATGGTGTTTAAGGGAGAGTATAGCAATGAAATGAGTGTCGTGGGAATTATTCCAGTAGATGGTGAGCCTGACGATTGCGTCCTCGGAGAGGAATTCAGAGTCTGTCTAACTACTAAAGTGAGTTTTGATTTTTTTTAGGTAAAAGGCTTACGGACTCGAATCACCATCCCGCTAAACTTATTCGATTCCAGATTACTTACATATCACGCTACTACCGTCACGTATTCGTTCTCGATCTCAGCCCGTCGACTATCGTTGCGGTATGTGGGTTTTCACACCTGCGCTTCTTTTGTTAGTAATCATGTTTCTTTTTCAGGATGAAGAAAGTAACTGTTGTTTACATACAAAACTTTTGGAATGCTTACGACTCAGCATGGCTTCTGTCAGCAAGAGTGTGAGTTCTATTCCGCCAAGAGACAGTTGTTTCCCTTTCGCCCTTCCAGTGTGCGTGGAAGTGAAGTTCGAGAATCTTGATAGCTGGGTCTTCTCTGAGGCCTTGCGCAAGCTGCACGTGTTCCTTGGTACCTGGGCGACCGAGGTTCACCAGCAGCCGTGCTGGCACGCTTTTAAAGTCGAGCTTCAGAGGCCAGTGGCTCCCTAGCAATCTGTGACTGACAAGCTGCGGGTATGGCCAAGGTTGCGTGTACGTCTGGCCTTGTGACGTGTTGCGTGTCTGTGTTCTACTTATCGAGTGTCGAACGGGTAAATGCATAAAGAAAACTCACAATCCACCAACTTCCTTTCCGCGCATTTTGTGCTGGTGAACGTGAGATTCTTTCACAGTTGCTTACCTGACCACCACGAGCGTGGAAAGTTTTCTCCTGATTCATCTTCCAATGTATCTTTAGTCTGTCCTCCAGATCGTGTTTCTTAGACTGAACAAACTCGGAGTTCGAGAGGAATAGTCCGAAATTAAGAGCTATTTTGTGTCTTTGTGCAGTATCGTTCAGTTTTTCATTTCAGTTTACGATTCCTGGAACGCGTCGAACATTTTCACCCCAGAGAGCAGATTTGAAGTATTTTCGTATTCTCGCTTTTCCTTTTTTTTTAGTTTTTTTGCCGCAGGTGAAAAAACCGAGTACATCTCGGATAATTTTAGGTGCTTGTACAGGGAATATTGCTGACTGAAAGTAATATAAACAGTGTTCTCCACACGGTTACACAGAAGTTCAATGATTTGTTGAATAGTTTATACGTTTACTCAAAAGGAATTCTACAAAAATGGGCAACATTGAGACGAAGGCACAGAGTTAGTTTTCTATAATCCCTCCAGACTACATTTCTCCAAAGCAAAACCTGTTCTTATTTGTCTGGCTTTACTACTACCTGATACTTTTTAGAATAAGTTTGACTCGGCTTGTGGTGATATTGAGTGCATAGGAGCGTACGAATCTGCAAGATCATCGATTTGTAAACGATGGCTCACCCAACAAGGTAAGATCACACTTGTACACCATGTTCTTCCTCCTGCTTTCCTTGAGCCCAAGAAGTTTCTGATTCAAGAGTTAGGGGGTGTAGCAGTTGTTTTAGGTTGTAAATAGTGCCCCACCAAAGCCTGCTCCTTCTTATCCTAGAAGCATCATGGACTACGTTAAAGGAGTTTGGTATGTGCTCTTTTATTTTTTGGTGACTAGAAAAGCTGTGAATTCTCCACATCAAAATGATGTTGTAGGACCGTAAGCTCTGCTGAAGATGAGAACACAACACGAAATCCTCTCTGTGACGGATACATACATCCAGAATGGGCTCTGATTTTCATGTTGCGGCTAGGTCTTATTGCCGTACAAATGATGCATGAGAATACACAATCGAGTTAGTTATTTGAAATTGTTAACCATTTTCCATTGTTCTAGCGTCTGATTAACTGTATTTTCCACTTCGACTTTCAGACATCATTGTTATTACTGATGCAGTGTGTGGCATGCCGGATGCGAATGCTCTACAACAGCTTTTGAGCCAGCTGCGGAGCTACACGGTTTCATGCTCTTTTATTCAGGTGAAAAGTTAATCTTAGCTGTAGCTGATCTGCTTGGAAGAGAGAGAAAGAGAAACGCACCGAAGACGCGCACTCGGCGCCGGCCGAGCTATGTGGGAGCGACGGTACGGCAGCGGACCAAGAATGAAATTTACTGACATCTTTTCGAGTGGATAGGTAACACTCTTATATGCGTGTGGAGTGCGAATGGATCATGCGCGGGAGCGCGCAACGGTGAGCACAGTTAGTAACCACATAACCACAGTGGCATCAGTATATCTCTTGGGAAATGGCCCGCCTATACTTGGGGTGCAGACTCAGCTATGGCGCGTTGGCGGGCGTCATCGCGAAGTCTGAACGCGTCCGCGTGCGTCACCGCGAAGTCTGATCGCTGTCTAAAACTTCCAAAACTTTTTTCAGAGGGGTCCGCGGCAGATGTGGAGGGCCTTTCAAGCAGCTATTAGTAGTTAGTAGGCATTTCAACCTCCCATCCTTCTATGACCAGTCGTTGCAGTTTCGTGGGCGCCTGACTAAGGCGCTAAATTTCAATGCACAAGGGTCGACCCTTACTTAGCATGTCTCTCTACTAAACTATCTGTCTTCATCCGAGTGGCTTGATTGCTAAAGCTATGCGAATTCAGTTACAAGGCCGATCTCGAAATGAGGCGTGTTTTGGTCATGTGGCATCGTGTGAACTGTTTCATTTCCTCGCGATGGCGACCTTTGGTGTGTACATTCCGAACTGCCGTTGCGCGATCGGAGTGGACATGAATGAGATCCATGAACCACTGGTTTGCTCTGAAGATGAAGAAGAAGTTGATGAGGAACGAGTACAAGCCTTTGAATCCGTTTCACAGGTAAGCAGCGGAGTTTTTCATGCTTCGAAGGATGTTGTGCAAGGTGTCACAGCTGGCCGATACTGTATAACGCTCCAAAATCGTAGGAATGTTGGATCTTATCTGGGAATGAACTTCATCACGTTTTCAAAGTTCAGGGCTCTGCTTTGCTGGTGCTTCCAAAATGCTCTCCAGGATAATGTTCACATAACCAATCTTGTAAACGAAATCAATCCCGAATTTGCGCAGTTGTACAAAAAGTAAGCTGGTTTAATAACGTCTGAGTGTGGTTTGCTTTTCGGAAATGTTTTTGCAGTGATGTGGTGAGGCATCGTTATATTCGTTCAATATATCGAAGTGCATTGCACGAGATCTTGTACATTCGTCTAAGAGAAGGATTCACATTGAAGCAAGGTTTGAGCGTATGCCATTTGTGGACTATGCATCTCCGACACTTTTTTGAAATATATGGAATAAGAATTTTACATCTGATAAACGTAAATTACCGGATTTAGTGAGACTGTGCAATAATGACTCGCGAATCATGATCGTTCTAAGCTTGCCATTTCGACCGTTGGTTTTCATTGACTACACCATCATAGCCAATTGGCCCTCAGATAAGATGTCCAGGTGAGAGAATATGTGATTGGAAACTGCTTTTTTCCAACAAGCATCTAGCCTTCGGGAATGCCATGACGCTCAAGTTGCCCAGCTGAGGTTTTTCACCGTTTCACAGTCACTTTGAAGGAAGGGGCGATCGAAAGCAGCCAAGGGTTTTGAAGTTGGAGGTGGAAGTAGTGGTTTTTTTTCTTAAGGTGTTTTTCCTGCTTGGTTCATTTTCTCCTTTATTCTACAGCGAATCAATTCCCAGATTTTTGTCGGCTAGAACCATCGCTATGAAGAGCGGCGTCCATTTTCTCTCTATGGGCACAGCTTCACACAGTTTGCTTTTACAGCTACATATTTTCAGGGAAGATGTAACAATAGATCTTGTCATACAAGCT